AAGTAATAGTAAATTGTAAAGAGGGAGGAAGAGAGAGGGAGACAAAAAGTGAAAAGGGAATCGTTCATAAATTCACTTTTATGTTAAGCTTTTACAATTTGAAAAAAAATATAAAGATCGAACAAATTTACCGCAGTGAATAATTTCTGGCATGTTTTATCATAGAGCATTTTAATGCATTGTTTATGCGCATTTGGTATTACATGGCGCAATTGTACTCCATCACGAATCTCCTGAAATTAATAAAGCGTTTTGTGATATCATTTTTTATTTTATTCAAATTTACTTAGAGCTTTTTTTTGCAATAATGTTTAATTTATTTAAAGTGCCCTTTCCCATTTTTGTTTTAAAGCAATAATGGAAGGAATTTTATTAAACATAAATTTTCTGCTGATTATCATATCAGATCCCATCATTAGTACATAAAGAAAATAGACTGAATAGTATTATCATAACAGCATTATTTCCATAAAAGGTAATGATACATTTTCTCTGGATGAGAATAATTCTATAAGTTATGCTAAAGAATTATTAACCGGTACTATAATTACTGTACGGAAATTTGTCATTGTATTATATAACTAATAGAACTGATGATTTTACAAATGAAGAAACTTCAGAAAAAAAAGTTTAATGAATAAATAAAGTATATTAACTAATGAGATAACTGTTTGCTCCACTAATCATTTTTAAAAATTATATCCTATATTGTTTTCACATTATTTTATTTTTTTTGTACTGAAAGTTGATATATCGAGACTTACAGTCAGTAATTTATTATTCTGATATTGTTCGGTGGAAGGAAGAGATGACAAAGATGACGATGAATCGTTTGTTAGATTATTTTGTTGTAAATTGGATAGAAATAATTCTCTTATATGTTGTCTTTGGTCGATTTCTTTCAACAATGTTTGTGAACGTATTTCTGATATTGCCGATTTATTCGTCTAAAATGTTACCAATTCATAAGACCGTAATATTGTAGTCATATTGTCGGAAAGAATGTCGTTATATTTTTAAAATTATATGAATTTCATCAATATATTATCGTTTTCTTTTTTTTCCTCTCTATCTATCTTTTAATGATAAGCTTTTAATAGTAAAGATTACAGTAATAATTAATGATAATTACAAGATCTTAGTGATAAACAATAGTAAGATTTCAACCATAATTGTATAACAATATTATCTCTTCATTTTTTAATTTAACTCTTGAAAATTTTTGTTGTTAACATGACTAAATTTTCTGATTTTTTATATTTCTGATAAAGAGTGTAAAGTTTACTGAACCTTTTGCATACTTCATACAACAAAGACACAAACCACCGTCTCCTATTATAATTGTTAAAAAAATAGCTGTTAAATTGTTTCCAATATCTTTAATTATCAACCAATCTTCTTTAGTGATATATATTATTTGCATATTTTGAAGAAATTATTTAATTTGTCCATAAATTTGTTAACTTGTTTGGCTTAGATAAAATTTCAAATAATTCATGTATCCGAGAGGATATATAATTGTCCAAGATATTATCGTTTGTAATTCATTTTATGGCATTAACTTTAAATCTTTGGGAAAATGTCTTTCGAGAATAAAACTTATCGAAATTTGGATTTAATTTGTTGAAGGAAGCAGGAGAAAGAATAAAAAGGATAGGAGGAAGAAATTGCTGAACTTGTATGAATATTAGTCACTTGACAGAATTACTTGCTTATTTTAAATTATTACTCAAATTTTGGTTTCAGGAATTCAAATTATATCTCATTTGAAAGCATTTATAAATGATTTTTGCCAGACAATGAATTTTCTCTAGTAATTAAGGATTATTTTTATGAAATGCAGTCGAGAAACTGTCAAATCTCATCGACTTAAATGAAATGTTCATTTGAATGATGACCCGAAATTGTATTGCTCATTTCATTAATGTGTTGTTTGTTTGTCACTGAATTAAACAGGTCACTGAACGACTCTTTTTTTGTGACCTCTTTTTTATGTTTGAATTTTATTGTAAAATGAAAGATTTTAATTCTAATTACTAAATCGGTTGAAAAATTTTGCAGCTCTTCAAACGCCTTTAAAAAATGAAACACTCAAATACTTTATTTATCAAGGAGTCTTCAACGAAGCTATCACTAAGTATTAAATTAACCTATGCTTCAGCGATAATTTCACTAATTTGTATTATTTCTATGATTATTATATTGCCAATCCTTTGTCTCAAATTGGACTATGCGTCCGGTCGACTAACGGAACGGATGCATAATTTTGATGTATGTTTTACTTTATTAACTAATTATTATTAACTTTAATTTATCAATTAATTAGCATTAATTTTAACATTCAGACAGTATTGCACTAATCAAAGTTCAGTATGTAAAAGTAGTTTAGCTTGAATTCAATAAATGTGTGAGTAAATTCTTTCGGCTTAAATGTATTTCATTCAGAGTGATTACGTGAAGAAAATATGTTTGATTCAAACCATTTAAATTAATTTTTTTGCACAAAGATGTAAATACTGTGCATGAAACTCTGAAGGAAATAAAACACATAATGATAAGAATAATCGTTGTCACTGGCATTATCAACAGTTAAAGCATCATGTAATATTATTTTAAAATAGCATAAAAGTTCTTTTCTTTTTTCTCTCTCAGTAGTTTTTGAATAATTCAAAAGATGCTGGAATTAAAACAGACCTTAAATTTATTCACTGCTAAAATAAGTGTTTACATAATAATAGAGCCTTATACATATCGGCATTTCAGTATTTTTTAGTTTTGAATTAAAATTTAGAGGAACACTGGATACTTTAATAAATTTTTTTTTATATAAATAAAAATAAAATCAATTTATTCAGTTAAATTCAAAAAGTTTATGGCACGATATCGTTTTGATTAGAAGTAATGGACGGATTAAACGTCAAGGTTGGTTTATTCTTACTTCTATGCCTTTACTCAGTCTTGAAGTTACTTAATATTTAAATTTTCATAGATACTTTGATTATTTATGAAGAATTTATTACGATTTTAGATATGATATGTATACCTCATAGATCATTTGGTTATTGTAACAGAGAGAATGTGAACGGTATGTATCATCTTTTAATTGATAAAGGATGAATGGTTTTTTCGGTTATGGTGAAAAATCAATAATGAGTCTCGGAGAAAGCGAAGGGCAATGCAGTAGTTGTATAGAGCTACGGTGTCCACCAGGTACACCAGGTCCACCAGGAATGGATGGGGAAGATGGCATAGATGGTGAACCTGGAAGGCCTGGAAAACCTGGACTGGATGGATTGGATATTCCGCTGGAACCAGAACCTAGTTCACCCTGGTATTTTTTATTTCACTTTTCTGAATGTACCTAAAAAAGTATTGTTAATAACAAAAGGATTTTCCAGCGTCATTTGTCCAGCGGGACCGCCAGGAAATAGAGGACGACAAGGAGAGCCAGGAAGGCCTGGAATACCCGGTGAACCAGGTCATCATGGTATGCCTGGAAGACCAGGCAAAGGAGGTAGAGTAGGTGATCCTGGTCTACCTGGTCCTCTTGGTGAAGAGGGTGAGCCCGGCATTAAGGTACATTCTATTCTCTAATGAAAAAATATTTCAGTCATAAAAAGCAATTTAGTTGATGATCGAAATGATGAAAATAAAGTTGTAACTCTATGTTACTTAGATATAAAAGACTATGATTCGATTATTATCAGTTCAATGACAAAGCCGAATAAAAATACAAATAGTAAGAAGACAGGAGCAATTTTTCTAGCACAATTAGGGATTCGTAATAAAAATTATGAATATATTTATTGAAAATGAAGTTTTTTCACTGAAAATAAATAATACAATGGTTAGATTGGTATACTTAATAATATAACATATTTGAAAATAAAAAAAAAGCAAATTCTTGTCCTTAGCGCTATATTATGTAATTTTTTTGAGCGGTTGTAGGGTCCACCTGGTGATGATGCAATTGGTGGGACAGGAATCAAAGGTCCGCCGGGACCACAAGGACCTCGTGGACCGAAAGGTCCACCAGGACCAAATGGGGTACCATCTAGCAATTTTGGACCACCAGGACCTCCTGGTGAAATGGTATGCTTGGCTTATTTTCCAGCCTCTTTAAGTCTCATTATTCTGGAATATTTGGATCAAATCGTTCCGTAATACTAAAAAAACATTACTCCATTCTTTCTTAAATGAAGAAAGAATTATTTAGAAGCATTTTGCACCTTTTTTGGCATTTTTTTACCATTCAATAATTCCGATATTTATCTTCTAGGGACCAACCGGACCACCCGGTAAACGAGGTGAACCAGGACCTAATGGACCAGTTGGCCTACCTGGAGAGCGTGGCGAACCTGGAGGACATTGTAAATCGTCGTGTGGTATTCAAGAAGTTGTAGCGCCATCAATTATTGAATTAGATATTTATGATCCGAAAGAAGATGCAAAGCGTAACTGGAAAGTAACCGGAAAAAATTATAGACATAAGTAGTAGGCTCATTGTCCACAGAATGGTCAATTCCCGTTCACAAAACATTCGTCAGTTATGCGATATCTTTAATAGCTTAGAACCATCAAAAATTTATTCTTCGATTTCCGTCTTTCATTTGTGTTTTGTAAAACCAAAGGCCTCAAAGGTTTATAATATGGCGATTTCACTTTTTTATATTTAATAATGACTTTCTTCAAAAATAATAATGACGCAAATTTCAATAAACGAAGTCTTTTCCTTTTTTGGAATTTTTTTCATTTCACTGCTCATCTTCTGAATGCTCTGAATCCACATCTTCGCCATCAGAATCATCATCACTTGAAGTATCACTTGGCGCACTTCCTACAGGTGCAAAAAACTCAGCACCAAATCGTCCAAGCTTAAAAATGACCTTTCACTGTGATCCATGAGCATCGTTGACATTTACACACACTTACTGGCTTTGAATCAAAAAGAATTCAATAATCTATCGAGAAGAAAAAGTTGAAATGTGGAACAAATTTTACATTACATACCCTAAATTTAGCACCAACTTCTTTCTTCTCTTCTACTCCAACTTTACTTATCACCTTTGAACTTATTTCCACTCCTTTCTCCGTCTTTCGCACTGCATCTGTTTAGTGAAAATATAATGCTAA